CCTGCCCAGCTTCATTTACCTCAGACTCATCTGGTCTTATTTTTAGCTCCGGCATCTCTCTCTCCTGCTTTCTTAATATGGCGATGAGCTCTTAAGCCAGCATGGGGATGGGGGCTGAGAAGCCCTGGACATTGGGGGCGGGGGAGGGAAGGAGCCCCTGGGAACCTGGGGAGAGGCATGGGAGACGGGAGGAATCCTGTCCTCACGGAGCTGTCCTGGCCTCAGAAGGTTATCGTCTCTCCTGCCAACCACAGAGACATATTTAGACAGGACCAGGTGGGGACCGAGGAGTGCCAGTTTCAGGGGGCAGCTCCAGTTCCCTCCCCGCCCCCTGTTCCTATGCCTCATCCTGACCCTTTTTCTCTTGGCTCTGTGGGCAGTTTCTCCAGGACCCAGCAGAGTCCTCCGTCAGTACTCTGGGCCGTTCCCCACCCCAACCCCACCTTGAGCTCCTGATTCAGGATTCCACACCCACGGGCCCCTCCCAACCCCAGCTAACCTCTCCTGGACCAGGAGAGTCGACCCAGATCCCACTACCTCCATGCACGCTACAGACAGGATGGGGGCCAGAGCTGTGCCGGGCCTGCGGCTGGCACTGCTGTTACTGCTGGTGCTAGGGACACCCGAGTCCGGGGTGCAGGGAGAGGACGGGCTAGACTTCCCCGAGTATGATGGTGTGGACCGTGTGATCAACGTCAACGCAAAGAACTACAAGAACGTGTTCAAGAAGTATGAGGTGCTGGCCCTCCTCTACCATGAGCCCCCTGAGGATGACAAGGCCTCACAGAGACAATTCGAGATGGAGGAGTTGATCCTGGAGGTGAGTGAGGAGCTGCAGGCTGGCGTGGCCCCTAGCCCCTCTCTGCCCTCCCTCTCTTCTGCCATGTAGATCTTGGAGGATGGGATCTGGGGGCAAGGGACGACGGGGTGGCACGATCCTGCGGGACAGAAGCGGCATGTGTTCTTAGCCAGATGAGAAACAGACACAGGAATCTGAAAGTACTGTCATACTTGAGTCATTTCAGACGGGGTGTTGCAGGGGCTTCCCCTCCCTACCTGGGGTTTGGACAGAGAGGGAAAAGAGAGAGGAACTTGGGGGCGAGGGGTGAACTGCAGGTTGTGTATATACTCTCCTGGCCAGAACATGTCCCCTCCATATACTTTAGGGACTGCACCCCCAAAAGGTCTAAATTGAGCATTAAATGTAAATGTTATTGATGTCTTACTTGCATGTCATGTATTTAATGGCTAAATGCTTCGATATCTCCGGGAGGCCATGCCTCACTACCTCCCGGTGCCCTCCCCCAACCCCACCATTCCCCACTGCATCAAGCCAGATGCCCTCACTGGAAATGGTTGAGGGGGGCTTCAAATGCCATCCCCATCTTGCCTCTGTGGGAAGAGTCTTCTCACCCCCAGAATGACTCTGGCCCAAAATAAAAATGGTTGCCATTAAAAGAAAAAGCCTGTGCTTGGGGACACTGGGAACTGTGGTCACTCCCCCCGCCTCCCGGTGCTGGCGTGTGTTTGAGTTTCCCTATTCAAGCTTCTGCAGCCCCTTCGCTGGCCTGGTGTACAGATGGGCCCCAGTTTGTCCAGAGCATGGAACATTTCAGGGTGAGATGCCAGAACCCCAGGCTCTCGTCTGTGCGGTCCTGGCTGGTGCTGGAACCTGCCATCGGATTAATGAGCCGAGTATTTTTATCGCGAGGGCTCGCTATTCCAGACACCCGCCTGCCAACTGCCTCCCTTCTCCTCCCCAAGATCACGGTGCCTGCATCTGTGCAGCGTGAGGTAAAGCCACGAGCTGTGCCTCCAGCAGAGTGATCCAGAACTGAGTGAAATACTGGAAGGCTTCTGCGGGCAGGAAGCTCAGGGTGGACTGTTCACCTCAAAGGCAGGCTGAAGTGGAGTGTGAGGGGGAGGAGAGGTCCAGTCTCGCAGCCTCCCTTCCTCTGGGATACAAGTGGTGACCTCTACTCTCAGCTTTCTGGTCCTCCCCTGTCCCTTGCCATGTAACCAGACCCACCACCACCCTCTGCCCCCCCAAATTCCTCCTGTTGGGGAGTTACTCTGAAGAATCCCAGGGACACCCAAGATCACCCCCACACTGAGTTTGGCTGTTGACCAGGATGATTCCATCCAGGGAGGCCCAACCCTGCAGGGTGAAAGGGCCCTCAGTTACCCTGAAGCCAGACCCCGCAGCACCCCTCAAGAACCAGGAAGTCTCGAGTACAGTGCCTTTTGGTTCAATATAACAAGCCCATCACAAATGAGCAATAATAAATATTCAGGAAGTAGCAGTGGATGGAACCAAAGACAGAAGGTGGGGTTCCAGGGAATGGGGGATATTCTGGATCTTAGTATAGGGTCAAGGTCAACTCATATTTCCTGCACCCCCACTGACCCAACTTGAAAGCATGAGAAGGGGAACAGGGGTTAGTAAGAACTCCAGGCCAGGCTCAGTGGCTCAGCCTGTAATCCCAGCACTTTGGGAGGTCAAGGCAAGTGGATTGCCTGAGCCTGCGGGTTCGAGACCCAGCCAGGCAACTTGGTGAGAACTCCTCTCTACAATCAACCAAAAATTAGCCGGGCGTGGTAGCGTGCGCCTGTGGTTCCGGCTACTTGGAAGGCTGAGGCGGAAGGATCGCCGGAGCCCAGCAGGTGGAGGCTGCGGTGGCCGGGAGTGGCCACTGCACTCCAGTCTCGGCAACGGAGTGAGACTCCAACTCAAAAAAAAATTAAAATAAAAAATAAGAAGATTTTTTTAAAAAAAGAACTCCAGGGGCTAATTTCAACCCTACCCCTTCCTCCAGTTAGCAGCCCAAGTCCTAGAAGACAAGGGTGTTGGCTTCGGGCTGGTGGACTCTGAGAAGGACGCAGCTGTGGCCAAGAAGCTAGGTAAGGGAGAGGAGGGAGGAGCAGGAAGGGGGAAGTGGCACTGAGATTAGGGGAGGCCCAGGGTGGAGGATCTGAGGGCTTGGGGAACTCTCCCACCATGTCTATTCTGAAAGTAGGCGGGCAGGAAATAAAATGAGAGACTGGGGGCCGGCTTCCTATTCCTTGGGAGAGACCCACGCTCAACTTCCAGAAAGACGGGGGAAGCCGGGACACAGGCCGGGCTGGCCAGGCCTCTGCAAAGGCCTCTTCCCACCCCTCCCGCTCCAGAGCCGCGGCTGGGTGTTGCAGGGCCCGACCACCAGGGGGCAGCACGGGCCCGAGCCGGGGCTCCGGATGCGGATGGGGGAGGCACGGTTAGTAACCATGAGGTCATCCGGTCCGTAATAGCCGCCAAAGAGCTGGACTGGGAGTCCGCTTCGCGAGTCCTCAGATGGGGTGGCAAGAATATTCACGTCCACTTACGGCAGTCGGAGAAAGGGAGACACGCTGCTCAAAGCTCCAGGGCCCTGCTCCCGCCCCTCCCGCCCTGCGCGACCCCAGCCTCCCCCAAGGAGCCCCTGGGGCCAAGCCCGCCTCGGGGGGCCCAGGCGCCCAGTGCCGGGCAGGGAAGTGGCTGGGCCCTGGGGCCCGGCTCACCTCGGGCCCCCTCCCTAGGACTGACTGAAGAGGACAGCGTTTACGTGTTCAAGGGGGACGAGGTCATCGAGTACGACGGGGAGCTGTCTGCAGACACGCTGGTGGAGTTTCTGCTGGACGTGAGGACGCCGCTGCACCCGGCGGCTTTGCTTTCGCACTCGGCAGCCCCAGCCTTACACTGCACACACACGCCACACCCCCGCACACCACACAGCACACATCACACGCACCACATACACGTTACGCACCACACATGTGTGCAAAACACAACACACATGCACGTTACACCCAAGCACACTCCGTGGACGTCTAGCCCCTTTTTCCGGTCCCCCTGTCTTTTCTCCAGATCCTTTATCTCTGGTCCACTCCTGAGAACGGAAATTCACTCTTTTCCATGTCCCTGCTCATCCAGGTCCTAGAGGACCCTGTGGAATTGATCGAGGGTGATCGGGAGCTGCAGGCGTTTGAGAATATTGAGGATGAGATCAAGCTCATTGGCTACTTCAAGAGCAAAGACTCAGAACGTGGGTAGCTCTCAGTGCCCCCCTTCCCCCGTGCCCCCTCCACCGGACCTCCCACCTGGTGTCTCAGATCTCCACCCCTAACTCCTGTCAGCTCCATCAACTGCTCCACCTCCCTGTGCTCTGGGAGACTCCCAGCAGGCACCACCTGTGTTCCACCACCCCTCCCGCCTGCCCCCCCCACAGCCCTAGTTTTTCTCAGAGCACTAGAGGGAGTGGTCTCAAACTACACCCTCTGCCAAAGATCTGGGGACAGACAGAAGGGGATGGTGCCCTGGCAGCCCTGGTTCCCAGAGACTGACTCTCCATTCCCCCCTCAGATTACAAAGCCTTCGAGGACGCAGCCGAGGAGTTCCATCCCTACATTCCCTTCTTCGCCACCTTCGACAGCAAGGTTCTCCTCCCTGTGGCTGTACTGGGTCTCCCTCATGCCCCTAAGCTGCCCTTCAGCCTCCTCTCCCAGAGGCATGGGGACCCCACTCCAGGCTCCTCCCACCCACAGATTTTAGAGCTGCCCAGGGAAGTCCAGACACTTGTCCACTGTCATAGTGGCAGTGACAAGGGCCTGGTTTTCAGGATCCTTTCCTAACAGTCATTCCCCCGTAATACTGCTTCTCACTGTAACCCTGTGTTCCCTGCTCCACTCCCCTCCTGTTCCCTCTCCCAAAGGTGGCAAAGAAGCTGACCCTGAAGCTGAATGAGATCGATTTCTATGAGGCCTTCATGGAAGAGCCTGTGACCATCCCAGACAAACCCAATAGTGAGGAGGAGATTGTCAACTTTGTGGAGGAGCACCGGAGGTAGGGATCGAGGGCACTGCTCTGCGCCCGGCGGCCTCTGCCTAGGGCTGGAGTACCATGTGTGAGTCGGATGGCGGGTCTTGGTCAACCAGAAAGCCAGTCTCACCTGGAGGTGATGCCCTTCTGGGCATCCGTGCTCACCGACTCACTGATAATTTTGCACCCCAGTACTTGGCCCTCAGCTCTACACAGAGAAGGGCCCCGTAAGTGTATATCATTCATTGTGATGTTGACTTTGACTTACATGGTCTTTGTCAACAAACAAGTGTGGAGTGTCAACAAACAAGTGTGGAGTGCCTGTGGTCTGCCAGGAACTGCAAGGTGCTTTGTAGCTCAATTATGATATGTAATCCTTTTAACAACCTCAGTGAAAGAGGTCCACAGGGAGTGTCAGAACTGGGATTTTTTTTTTTTTTGAGTTGGAGTGTCACTCGGTCGCCCAGACTGGAGTGCAGTGGCCGCTTCCGGCCACCGCAGCCTCGACCTGCTGGGCTCCGGCGATCCTTCTGCCCCAGGCTTCCAAGTAGCCGGAATTACAGGCATACGCTACCACGCCCAGCTGATTTTTTGATTTATTGTAGAGATGAGGTCTCGCTGCCCAGGTGGGTCTCGAACCCGCGGGCTCAGGCAATCCACTCACCTCAGCCTCCCAAAGGCGTGGGATTACAGGCTGAGCCACTGAGCCTGTCTAGAACTGGGATTTTAACCGTGGTGTTCTTTCTAATATGTTACCCTACAACCGTGGTTCTCTAGGGTGGGGGGGGGAGGATCTTGCCCTCGAGGGATGTCTGCCATGCAGACACTGTTGTGGAGAGTGTCACTGGTATTGTGTGGCCAGAGGCCAGGGATGCTGCCAACACCCCACAGTACACAGGACAGCCCCCTCCCCCAGCAGATTTCTGTGGCCTCAAATGTCAATCGTACCAAGGCTGAAAAGCCCTGCCCCACATACGCACAGAGTTCTCTCCCTTCCCAGTCCTCCACAACTGGAAATACCCATCCATCACTGTAAAAACTGTTTACTCTCTCCCACGAGATGATGGCCCTTTCATCAGGGCGGGAACATGTTGCCTGGTTCCACTGTACCCAGCACCCAAATAGTGCTTAGAACATATCAGGCCCTCAGTCATACTGAGTGAGTGGCTGACAATGAATGACTGAATGAGTGGACACCCAGATGTCCAGTCCTTGCCTTTCTCCCCAGAGTCTCTCTCCCCATCCCTTTGCCCACTCTCCCCTCTCCCACCGCTTCAGCCATGCAGCGATCTGGGCCTGGTGCCCAGAGCTTAGGCTTTGCCAGATGGCTTTGTTCTGGGCTACAAGCTGTCTGTGCCCTGGGCCTGACCCAGAGGCAGCCTCTGTGATGGGGACTCTCTGGCGGGGAGCATCCCTCCCACTCCCTGAGCAGGGACCCTCTGTCTGCCCCTTCCAGATCAACCCTGAGGAAACTGAAGCCTGAGAGTATGTATGAGACCTGGGTGAGTGCCCCTGGCCAGGGCTGGGCCCTCTGGGAGCACAGGGGGCTGCAGGCGCCGGCCCTAGACACAGCCCGCCCTCCTCATGCCACGTGTTAAAGAAACAGGGCACCTGCAAAGGTGGGAGGTCTTCTGCTCTGAAGAGTGCGTCAGGATTTGGGAGGCAGACATAAGTGGATGAGATGACAAGGGAGGAGCCCAGGCTCTGGGGATAAAGGGATTAGCAGAGGAGGTGCGGGGGCCTTGGAGCTGAAGGGGACAGTGTCACTTGGCAAAGGGTCACTGTCACAGAACGTATCTCATCCGGAAGCTGGACTTCCACAAAGTTCAGATTCAGCAAACATCTAGGATCTTCTCTGGGCTCCCCAACATCAGGGAGTCCAGTAAGCACCCCCCACCTGCCCTCCTTCTCGCCTCCCAACAGGAGGACGACATGGATGGGATCCACATCGTGGCCTTTGCCGAGGAAGCCGATCCCGGTGAGGCCGGCACACTGGGCTGGACAGGGGAGGTGTGGAGAAGGGTGTGCTTACGGAGGGAGCACAGGCCTCACTCAGGGGGCATTCCTGGGAGTCGGCAAGCATCCCAGAGCTAGACCTGTGGATTAGGGAGCAGGGAGGTAGACCTGGACGCCTCCGGTTTCCTCTGTGTCCCTCTCCTCACACTGCTCACTTGCGTTCCCTCCAAGATGGCTTCGAGTTCTTAGAGACTCTCAAGGCTGTGGCCCAAGATAACACTGAAAACCCTGATCTTAGCATCATCTGGATTGACCCTGATGACTTCCCCCTGGTAAGAGGCGTGGCTCAGGCATGGCTGTCCTGAGGCCTTAGACTGTGGAACTTTCTTAGTCAGGGCTTTGTCAGAGGTCCCACTGCCATCTCAGTGTTGGGGGACCCCAGGGGCTGTGCCTGTTGCATGCTCAAGGGGACTGTGCATAGAAAGGGCATGCTGAGCCAAGAGAAACAGGCTGGGAAGTGAATCGAATGAGACATGCACACAAGTCGCAGAGCAGAGGCTGGACTGACAGCGCATGTGCCTGGTGGACTCCTAAGAAGACCAGGGTTCTGGGGAGGAGACAGGCACAACAGCCCTGCACCCGGGTGCACACACTCAGCACAGAAACACAACACGAACATTCCATGTTTCAGGGGGGAGGGGCTTCGTTCTCAGCTGAATCCCCAGCACCCAGCACTCATTGTTAGGTGAGTAACTGAAAGAACAGACAGAAGTGTGCAGAACGCTGGTGATTACCAGGTATACAAGGGGGACCCCCCCAAAATGGAATTTATTAAAAATTGTGTATTTAGCCAGGCGTGGTAGCGCACACCTGTAGTTCCAGCTACTTGGAAGACTGAGGTGGAAGGATCGTCTAAGTCCAGCAGGTCGAGGATGTGGTGGTCATGAGCGTGCCACTGCACTCCAGCCTAGGCCACAAAGTGAGACTTCAACTCAAAAAATAAAAATAAAAAATTGTGTATTCTTACATGTTTAAACTTCATTCACCTGCAAAGTACTCTCCATCCTCTGAGACACTTTTTCCACTGTCAAAACAGTTTTTGAACTTGTCTATTTTGATGCCTTTCAGTGCTTCTGATTTTTTGTTTGACCTCTTCCATATCCACAAAATATTTCCATTTGAGGACTTTTTTCTTTTTCTTTTCTTTTCTTGAGTTGGAGTCTCACTCTGTCGCCCAGGTTGGAGTGCAGTGGCACACTGACGGTCACCACAGCCTTGACCTGGTGGGCTGAGGCGATCCTTCTGCCTCAGCATTCCAAGTAGCTGGAACTATAGGCCCACACCACCACGCCCGGCTAATTTTTTGATTTATTGTAGAGACGAGGTCTCACCAAGTTACCCAGGCTGGTCTTGAACCCCTGTACTCAGGCAATCTCTCGCCTTGGCCTCCCAAAGTGCTGGGATTACAGGCTTGAGCCACCGTGCCCGGCGAGGACTTTTTTCATCTGGGGAAACCAAAAAAAGTTGCTGTCTTTGATCAAAAACTACTGAACACTCAGCACAGTGTGGGCAGGTGCACTGGTAAATCACCCATCCTGAAATTTCAGGGCAAACACGCTGAAAGAATGTCCAAAAAAAACCCCAAACTCTCTGAAGTTGAACACAGCCTCTCACAACAGTACTAGCTGGTCCACTGATGCTGATGGGTTCCTAGAACACTTATCCAGTGAGGAAAGCCTGTACTACAAGGGGCTTGCCCTCCCAAAGATAATTCCGGTGTTTTCTGGGTCCCCCGTCAATACCTTATTTTAGAGATGTAAGAACTGAGGGCCACAATGTCCATCGGTAGCAGATCCAGGACCAGAACAAGAGTTTCCCTGAGAAGGAAGGGGCCAGTGTTCCCAGCTGACCCTCCTAAAACTCTCTCTGTGGGACTCCTACTGTTCCAATGCTTTGCTCCACCCATTGCTTTCAGGCTTACAGCGGTACCCACCCCCCAGCCACTGCCAGTTCACGTTGTCCCCTCTCTTTATCCCTCGGCTGCCACTCACGCTCACCCTCCAGACTCATGTGCTCCCAGAATCCATTAACTTGCCATACTTGGATCTCTCTCTCTGCAGCTGGTCCCATACTGGGAGAAGACGTTTGACATCGACTTGTCAGCCCCACAAATCGGAGTCGTCAATGTTACTGATGTGAGTTTCTTTCCCTCACCCCCAGCCCACCCCTCACTCTTCATCCAGGGCAGCCTGCTCTCCTCCCACAGCTAGGAATTGAGCCTTTCCAGAGGAAGCACACACCCAGTCTGGCGGCGGGACAGAAGGGGGACTGGACACCTGAACTTGTCCTGCTATACAGGCCCAGGTCAACTCCTTTCCCCTCTGCGAAGTCTCTCCAGATCTTTCATTTAGAACCACTCCTTCCCTGGCACTCCAGAGCTCGTTCAGCACTGAGAACATGACATTTATATGGCTAGTTATGTTTTCATGTCTGCCTCCTTCAGTAGACTTTTTAAGGGCAGAAGTCTACTCATGAACACACAGTAGGTGCTTCAGCAATGTTGAGTTGACCTAGGCATGGTGGCTCATGCCTGTAATCTCAGCTCTTTGGGAAGCAGAGGCAAGAGGATTGCCTGAGCCCAGGGGTTTGAGACCAACCCGGGCAACTTGGCAATACCTCATCTCCACAATAAATCAAAAAAATTAGCTGGGTGTGGGGATGCACACTTGTAGTTTCAGCTACTTGGAAGGCTGAGGTAGAAGGATTACCTGAGCTCAGCAGGTTGAGGCTGCAGTAGCCATGAGCATGCCACCACCCTCCAGCCTGGGTGACAGAGTGTGACTCCAACTCAAAACAAAACAAAACAAAATGTTGAACAGAATGGAACGAGCCACAGTCTTGTCTTTCCTAGAATTCTCAGACTACTTTGGGAGGCAGGTATTCAATTAATCACAAGACTAGATCTGATATGCTTTATAATAAAGACACAAATAAAATGCTAGGAAGACACAGAAATCAGTGTGAGTTCTGCGTGAGAGACTCAGAAATAATTTTGAGAAAAAGTGATATTTAAAATGGGGATTGAGTCGGGCTCGGTGGCTCAGCCTGTAATCCCGCGCCTTTGGGAAGCTGAGGTGAGTGGATTGCCTGAGCCCGCGGGTTTGAGACCCGCCTGGGCAGCGAGACCTCATCTCTACAATAAATCAAAAAACCAGCCGGGCATGGTAGTGCATACCTGTAATTCCAGCTACTCGGAAGGCTGAGGCGGAAGGATCGCCGGAGCCCAGCAGGCGAGGCTGCGGTGGCTGGGAGTGGCCACTGCACTCCAGTCTGGGTGACAGAGTGAGACTCCAACTCAAAAAAAATAAAAAATTGAAAAATAAAATAAATAAATAAATAAATAAATAAAATGGGGATTGTACAATGCATAGGATTTCAACAAGCGATGATTCAAGGAAGTCATTTCCAAACGGAGACAAAAGCGAGCTCAAAAGATCAAAAGTAGGAACGTGAATATCAGGTTCAGGAAAAGGCAAGTCGATTTCTAAGCTTGAGCATCTAGAGATCACAGAACAGTACTGGAAAAGCAGGTTAGGAGAAGCTCTGGGTGTCGAGGAGTCACAACTTAGGCTTCTAGGCCGTGGCATGCCACCAGGGGTCCGGCACCAAGGGTATTGCAGAGAGGACTGTTTTAGGACATTCAGCATGGCAGAAGCAGGGAAAGCAGACTGAAGGGCGGAGGACTACCTGCCAGTCTAGCTTTCCTTCCCACTCTCACCTGCCACTGTTCTGGCCCAGACTTCACCTGGACAGCATCCTTGGCTACTGACAGATGAAAGGAAGGGGCTAAGACGTAGGGAGGATGCATGGCGCATCATGAGTGGGGGGGCAGGCCCGAAGCCTGGGCCAAGCTTAATCCCTCCCTCCTGCAAGCTCCTAGGCCCTCTCCTAGGCAGATAGCATATGGATGGACACGGATGATGTGGGAGAACTGCCCTCCTCCGCTGAGGGCTTAGCTCCCCGCCATCTCCTAGGCAGATAGCATATGGATGGACACGGACGAGGAGGAGGCCCTGCCTTCTGTTGAGGGCTTAGCTCCCCGCCCCCCGACCCAACCCCGTTTCCTAGGCGGATAGCATATGGATGGAAATGGACGATGAGGAGGACCTGCCTTCTGCTGAGGAGCTGGAGGACTGGCTGGAGGATGTGCTGGAGGGCGAGATCAACACGGAGGATGATGACGATGACGATGATGACGACGATGACGATGACTAGTTGCTGTGGCAACCGCCTCCCGGCCCCGCCGGCTCTCCTCATGCTTCTCCTGCCTTCTCTGCCCTTCCCTGGCTCATTCTGGGGACACTAAGCCTCTTCCAGGGACACTAGGTCATTATCTGCCGTCGGGGCGATGGAGATCTCTATGCTGGGTGCTGAGAGCCTGACCCCTCATTAGATGAGATTCCACATGGCTCAGCTCACTCATCTGACTCTGATTCTCACCCCGTCACTTACCTGTATCTCCTACTTGTCTCTTCCGTCACCCCCCACACTCTTTCTTGGGATTCTCCCCTTGCCACGTCCGTGGGATCCCACCTCTCTTCTGCTCCCTCTGTCTATGTACAGCCTCCCCCAACTCTCTCAAACCCTGCATCCTTCTGGCTGTCCTGTCCCTGGCCAGGAGGAAGGGAGGCTTCTGTGTTGGGGGCTGTGTCTCCCACTCTCTTATTAATGTATTTGGGTCAAATGAGAGGCCACAATAAAGGCATCTGGGGCAGCATGAGCAGGTGTGTTGATGAAGTCTCACCCCTGTCACAGGAGGAGTGGCCTCTGATGGGGGACTTAGATGTGGGTACCTGGATCAGAATGAGCTAGGGAATTGACAGGAAGGGCCTGGGGTTCCCCCCCAGGCGGCTGTCTCAGAGAAGCCTGTATTATTTATCTGCTTCACATCAACAAGCCTTTCCCAAACACATGGTGTTTGTCCAGCACTGCTGTTGGGCTCTGAAGAACAGAGAGTGCCAGGCCTGCTCCTGCTCTTGAGCTGATTAACCTCATGGAAATGCAAGACAAGCATAGTAGACAACTGAAGAAAAACACAAGGCAGTATGCAACTATGAGACATGTGCTGCTTGATAGCGGCTCCCTGCAGCTCTTACTTACACCAAGACTAGCCTGAGTCACTCTCCCTCCTCCGAGGCCTTCCCAGGGCTGCCCCCCATTGCTGTGCCCTCCTTGGGCGCCCACTGCACTCTCTGTGTCTAGTGCTCAGCACGTTCTCTTCTAGTCTTCACTACACATCTGTCTTCCCCACTACACTGCGAGCCCCTTGAAGGCAGAAACCCAAGCTTTTTCTTTGTGTTCACGGGGCCTGATGTGCAAAAAAGTCGTCCCTGATAAATGTTTGTTAAAAGAAGAACAAAGGAAAGGACAAGACAGACTCAGAAGAGTGAGATCAGAATGGGCTTGATGACTTTATAAAGGAAGGAAGCCTTTTCTAGGCTTTAAGTTGAAGAATGGGATTCAGGGACAAGGGAGGTGGGGAGGAGACATTTCAGGCAATGGAAACATGGTAAACACCGGCAGGATGTATCTGTTACTTGCGGTGGCACAGAGACCAGCAATACAGAGAGAAATTCAAGTTGTAGCCACTAGGTCAGGGAGCCTCATGGGGCTGGGCTGTAGAGGTGTTTGGGTTTAATCCTGTGAGTGGGGGAGGCAGAGTAAAATGTAATCTGGCAGCGATAAGCAGGATGGGTATGGGGCTGGGGGGAAGGGAAAAGCAGCAGCAAGGAGACCAGCTAATGAAGCTGGGGACATGGACCCAAGTGGTGGTCATGAGCATGCAGGGGAGATGCCCTGCACATTGGGATCTCCCAGGCCTGGGCCTGCTCGAGTTTCTGGCTGGAAGGACCCACAGTCTCTCCAGAACAGGCCCAGGCAGGGGAAGCACACAGGAGTTCTGGGGGTCGGCTAAACAAGCCGGGCACCAACAGGCATGCTTTCCATGGATCAGGCGGATGGGTGTTGCTGGGAGACTTGGAGGATTTCTAAGGATGGAAAGACAAGATCTGACATTAGAGACGCTTTCACTCTCCACAGAGAGGAAGTGTTCCTAGAGAAGGCGGCAGGGGTGCAGACAGCAGAAACCATGTAGTCATCCAACGTGCACCCATTTAGAAAATGTTTAATATGTGGTGTGGTCACCAAGCTCATGTTGTAATAATGTTGTGGCACTCACTGTCTAGCAGAGGGTAGTGGAAGGCCCTGGACTAAATACTAGCTCCTATTTTTTAAGCACCCATCTGTGGCAGTCCCCAGAGACTCACTATTTCTGACTCTCAGAAGAACCCTACAAAACAGGCATTAGCATCCCCAAACTACATGAGCCTCAAAGATGGGGGAGCGAAACAGGTTTTGTCCTGACAACCCAGACTATCCAGAGGCCAAGGATGAGGGTGTGTGACTATCCAAGGGGCAGTGACAGGGCATGCTGCGAGACAGGAACAACAGAGAAGGGCTGTGAAGAGCAGAAGGAACCTGAGCCTTTTTTAGGGACAGTGTAGACCCAAGACAGGAGGGCTCATCTGAGGGCACGGAAGGGGACTCTACCAGGTTGGAACTGAGGTGAGAGGGGGTGTTCCTGGAAGTGGCACAAACACGGAGGGAACACCCACCCCCCA